CACACAAATGTGCACGCTCAGACAAAGAAACGCGACCAAACGGTGTCATAAAGGCCAGCCGGCCAGCCAGCCACAGAAGAGGGCCTAAAAGCCAGACGCGTCTGGGCCGCCGACCTCGCCGAGGGCGAGAGAGACAGAGGTGAAGTGATAGGAAGATGTGGAACGAAAGAGGGCAAGTAGCAGAAAGAGGGCGAGGGAGCAAGGCTCGGTGTCTGGCTGCAGTCCGTCGTGGCTTGGCAGAAAAGAATTGAATGCCGCTTCCTGGCCTCTTCGAGCGATTGTGCAGCCTCGCTTGGGCTGGGCGACTTCTTCGGCCCAGCAGGGACCAGACACGGCCTGGAGGGACATCGATCGCTGCCATCGGGTGATCGCTGTGCCGGAAGGCCATTGGCTCCGGCCGCCTGAGTGCTAGTCGTCGCTGCGTCTGGCTGTCGGCTGTTTGTTGCGTCCGCCTGGGCTGCTGGCCGAGGCGACGGTCGACAGTCGAGTCGAGGCCGCCAGAGCAAAGGCAGAAGAAGACAGGCCGAATGCTCCTGACTCGGCCCTGCTGCCGCCACTCCCGTCCACTTTGGCCCGTGAGCCCAACACCGCCGAGTCGGCCGCCTCAAAGGGCCGCCAGACCCCGCCACTTTGACTGGCGCGCCCCGCGCTCTTGGCTGTTTCAAACAAACCCACCTTCCTTTTGAATCTGTTTGGCCGCCTCTTTCCCCGCCGTTGAGTCAAGTCACGCCACGCCACGCCACGCCGCGCCACGTCACGTCAGTCGTCAGGCCTGCGCGCCTCGGCTGCCGGCCGGGCAAACTGAGTCGCGGAAACGAAAGGATCTAATCGCCTCCTCGTCCTCTCCTCGAGCCCGTTGAGCAGACTGTTGCTGCCCAAGCGTCATTTGTCTGCTCATCTTCCGTCTCGCTCCCACCAGTCCTGCCCGATAGCCGCCTCGGGCTCACGACAAGCCGACAGGGCATGACGCCCCGAGCGCCGGCCTCGTCTGCTCCGCTCATTGGCTAGCCCGGCCGAAGCAGCATGCTCTTTGCGGCACGGCTGTGTGGATCGACACTCTCGGATCGGAGCCCAGTCAACCGCGCTTGGCAACGCCACCAGCCCGACACTCGCCCTGTTCCCACGCCCAATTGACCGAGCCTTGGTGCGATGTTCACCAAACTCAAGTTCAGACCCAGCTTCAGACACAGTAAGTACTCGTCAACTGGCTCTCCCTCTCCATGCCGCATCTTTAAGCGCTCTACACCTCGTCGCCTGGCAACAGTGTCTTGCCATTTTCATGTCGAGGGAACCGTTGGTTGAAGGGACGTCTGAATTAACCTGCCCGGGAAACGAGATAGCCGGAAAGCATACGTTATGGACACGCGGATTAACTTGGTTTCAATGAATCTCCTGGGGTAACATTATTGGGGAAACCTTCATTTCGTATGAAAGTGCATGGAGAAGAAATTCGTAGGTTGATCTCACCGGAAGACGATAGCTTACCACAACCTTCAGGTCAGGGCACTCCACGAGACATCCTCTTCTTGGCCTATTGTTAGCGTGAGACTTTTGTAAGAATGAGTTCCAGCTCTGATGGTGTCCATCAGATGATGGACAAAAGCTCAGCTCGTTTTCACCCGAAGCGAGAGAAGAAGTCTCGTGGAGTGCACTAACCTGAACGTTGTATTAAAGCAAAACGGCGGCAGTACAACAGGATTCAGCCGTCGTCTTCTGGTGAGATGAACCTACGAATCGCAGCTTCATACAGTTTCATACGATATGAAGGTCTGCCCAACAAGCGGACTTTAGTAAAACGGCGAATAGGCTGCAAATTAGGGCGCAATTTCTTGCCCTGACGATGTCTGTTAAAGGACGGAGGAAGGCTGGACTCGAGTCCCTCGGGGTCGTATGAGAGTGAGGCGAGGACTTGCTTGCACATTCCAGCACGAATTCTCCTTAAAAATGTGATTTTAGTACTCTCGGTCGAAACCTATACAGACTCGGTTGACTTTACGAGATAATCGGATTGCAGTTTATACCGCCGGCAACTCCTGCCTGCATGGGAATACATTTTTGAAAGCAAGGCTATGTTAAATTATACGAAGAAAAGTTGAGTTTCGAGGAATCTCTTGTTTCATAATTGTTGGGATTACTTCCATTTCGAG